ATCATCATCATCATCATCATCATCATCATCATCATCGTCATCATCATCAGCATCATCATCGGCATCAGCATCAGCATCATCATCAGCATCATCATCATCATCATCATCATCGTCATCATCATCATCATCGTCGTCGTCAGCATTGTCATCATCATCAGCCTCATCATCATCATCGTCGTCATCATCACCATCGTCATCATCAGCATCAGCATGATCATAATCATCATCGTCATCATCATCATCATCATCATCATCATCATCATCATCATCATCATCATCATCATCATCATCATCATCATCATCATCTTCATCATCATCATTATCATTATCATCATCATCATCAGCAGCAGCATCATCGTCGTCATCATCATCATCAGCAGCAGCAGCATCAGTGTCATCATCATCAGCAGCATCATTAGCCTCATCATCATCATCATCAGCAGCAGCAGCAGCATCATCCTCATCGTCGTCATCATCCTCAGCATCAGCATCATCGTCATCGTCATCGTCATCGTCATCGTCATCAGCTTCAGCATGAGCATCAGCATCATCATCATCATCAGCATCATCATCATCATCATCACCATCACCAGTATCATAAGCATCATCAGCATCATCATCATCGTCACCATCATTGTCATCATCATCACCACAATCTTCATCATCAGCAGCAGCTTCATCATCAGCAACATGAACACCATCATCATCATCATCATCATCATCAGCATCATCATCATCATGGGCAGCAGCACCATCAGCAGCATCATCATCAGCAACATCAGCATCAGCATCATCAGCAGCAGCAACATCAGCATCATCATCGTCATCATCAACATCATCATCGTCATCAGCATCGTCATCATCATCATCAGCATCAGTACCCTCATCAGCAGCAGCATCACCGTTATCATCATCAGCATCGCCATCAGCATCATCGTCATCATCATCAGCATCAGCATCAGCAGCGTCATCATCATCATCAGAATCAGCAGCATCATCATCAACATCATCATCAACAACATGAGCATCATCATCAGCATCAGCATCATCCACATCATCATCATCATCATCATCCTAATCATCATCACCATCATCATCATCATCATCGTAATCATCCGCATCATCATAACCATCACCATCACCATCATCCTCAAGATCACCATTATCATCAGCATCATCAAAAGTATCGGCACCATCAGCATCATATCAGCATCGTCGGCATCATCATGAACATCATCACCATCAGCATCATCATCAGCGTAATCGTCATCATCAGCAGCATCATCGGCATCATCATGAGCATCATCACTATCGTCAGCATCGTCAGCATCAGCATCCGCGTCATCAGCATCACCATCTGCATCAGCATCATCATCATGAAAATCATCATCTGCTACCAGCATCATCAGCAGCATCATCATCGTCATCAGCATCATCATCATCATCCTCATCATCAACAACAGAATCAGCATCATCATCAGCAGCAGCATCATTATTCGCATCCTCATCAGCATCCTTCTCCTGCTCCTTGCCCTGCTCCTCATCCTCCTCCTCAGATTCCTCCTCCTCCTCCTCCTCCGCCTCCTCCTCCTCCTCGCCGGCCCTCCTCCTCCTCATCCTCTTCCTCCTTCTCCTCCTCCTCCTCCTCCTCCTCCTCCTCCTCCTCCTCCTCCTCCTCCCCGCCGTCCTCCTCCTCCTCCTCCTTCGCCTCGTCCTCCTCCTCCTCTTCCTCCCCTCCTCATCTCTCCTCCTCCCTCCTCCTCCTCCCCTCCTCCTCCTCCTCCTCCTCCTC